AAAGAAGTCAGGTCAGGTAGAAGTCAATTGATAAAATTATTTTCTTGCCCAGGAACCTTTTAGTGACTAGTTACTTGAATAGCAGTAATTCAGTGGAAGAACTGATGGCATACAGAATTCCTTTCAGAATCTGTGATTTTTTTCTCCCGTAGAAAATAAAGTTTATTTGACCAGAAGCTCTTAAGGACATTCTGTTAGTGTACAAGAGGAGCAGTGAGAGAGATCATCTCTGATGTTATTCACAAAGGCAGGGTATAACTGGGAGAGACCAGTGTCCTCTTTGGGCTTCCTCTGTAGTCAATGAAGAGAGAAAAACTCCTCCGAGAGAAATTGAGAGGTCTTAAATTTCAGCATTCAACTCTGAACTGCCCCAAGGAGGAGCATGTGTATCACAGACCCTGGGGAGGCTCATCTCCCAAGGCCAAAGTTGGTCTGTGTGAATCCCTTGTTTTTCAGCTAGTTGCCCATTACTTTATACATAGGAAACACTACAAGAGAAAGAGGGTCTGGTTTTATTCAAGGAACCCCAAAGCGATACAGGGATAAAGCAGCACTCACGCCAAGGGACACAGTCACAGAGCACGTCAATGGTAACAGAATGAAGCCAAAAGATAAAGGAGTGTACGCTAAATTGTCTTATTTCACAGGCAGGAATTATATCCTCAACCTTTCCAGCACACAGCGTAAGGGCTTTTTGTGCTGCCGTTACCTCTAGACAACTTACACAACCAGCAGTAGTCCACCACTGGGTTTCAAGTACCCAGTATGGTTCTTGGCAAGTTTCTCATTCGTACCAGCGCCTGCAGGTGTTGGCCCCAAATACTCCATGAAGTTGTTTTCTGGTTTGTTTTCCCCTTCAGAAGTATTTTAAGAGAAGGTACTTTGCGGGAGGAGGGTGCTTGGATGTGGAGCTGATGTCCCCCAGATTCTCAGGGCGTCCTCCCATCAGTGGCTGTGGTTCAGACCCGCCAAACTTCTGTGCTTGTGCGAAGACCGAGGGCGATTGCTCCAGGGTAGTTTCCTGAAAAATCCTGGTATCCCACCACAGGTCCGTGACATTTCGTAACTGTGGCGAAGGCTTACATCATACGTAGCATGCAGAAATACTAGATCTCATCTTGACACAACACAGTAGGTCCATCTTAATTGAGCAGTTGGGAGAGACAAATACACAGTGTCCCGTTTCTTCTGGAAAGTGTGAGTAAAAGATGGGTAATACCCACCGTGCCCATTACAACTTACGAGGGAAGCTATGCCACAAAGTGTCAGATTTCAAATGTTTCCAAAAGGATCCAGTGGATTTGTCAGGAAATCTCCATAGCCAGCATTATAAGAAAACATAACGAGCAAGCAGCTTTGATACAGAACTTTTTAAATTTTAAATTGTCATTATTTTTTGAGCACCTGTTTTCTTCAGCACTGTAAAATTGGTCATTGCAACAGCAGTTTATACTTGGGGATGAAGATGCAGTATTCCTTATTCTCTATCATGCTTACACAATTAATTAAATAGATTTAGACTGACTTGTATATATGATTATTTGCTAGAGTAATGTATAACAAAATTAACAGTGTTAAAAATTACATCAGTGATGTTGATGTTTGGGGTAAACTCACATCTCCCCTTTAATAACGGGAATAACAGTGATCATAAGTCTCGTTTTCCATTAGCCACACTGAAAATGTATTCTAGTTGCCATTTATAAATTTATCTTCTGGTAATAAATGTTGTTTAATGGAAAAAATCTCTTTCTCCTTTATTGAAGGTGGGTACCTCAAAATCGGAGTAAGTTTCACCATTAATATCCCACTTACTTTTTAGTTTGAACTTTGGTTTGGAAAGGTCAGTGTGTGAAACTGCATCTTCCACAGCGGACAAGTCTAAAGATCATTCAGTAAATCCGCCCTACTCCCGCATGCTCATCCATACACCCGTGCATATAAACCCCGGCACTTCCACATGCCTCCACCCATGTGCAGGTAATAAACAAGTTTATTTAAAAAAAAAAAAATCAGAAAAGGAAGAATTGGAAATAAACACTGTAAAAGAAAATACTGCCTTCTTAAGAAACCAGCTCCTGTTATTGTATGATGCCTTTGCCTGTGATTTATAACTGGAGAAGTACACAAAGAAATTTAAAGATTGTTATATTTTCACAGTTCCGCTATGGCCTAACAATTGCTGTGTAATGTATACTTATGAATTCAAGCCCATTGGTACCTTAAAAATGCTTAAATTCTGATCAATTTCTGCAGTAAATCAGGTTTTAGTACAAAAATGTAACTATAAGGATACTGCATCTTTAGAAATCAAAATACATTGAAAGTATTTTACTATGCTTGTAACAGTTTAAATATTCTGTAATATATGTGATAGTGGAAAAGTATTTTCAAACTCACAGTTTTACATGGGGTGTAAATAGGTTAAATGAAGTACATTTGAAAAAATTCTTTAGTTTTCATCAGGAAAAATTGTAAGATAATGCCTTGCAAAGCTTAAACACAAAACGGAAGAGCTAAATTATTCTGTTTTGTCAGAGCGTGTTTTCTCTGCAAAATGGAGTGGCCACTTCTTTGCTGTTTCGCAGATTGCATGCGATATAGCGAAGTCATATTGAGTCCTTCAGTGTCAAATAAGTCAACACTCAGAATGTCTT